GGAAAATGTTCACCACTGATTTTTAATGAATTTGATGTTTCACTGTTCTTTGCTGCTGCAGCAGTAATTGCTTCGGGTGCTGGAACAGTCTATAAAGAAATTATTTATATCATACAAAAAAAAATGTTTTTCAATTACTATAATTCTTGATTTTGTTGGAAAAAATTGTCGTGGAAATGATGCACCATCAACACGAAAGTCTTCACGATTTTTATAGTATTTTAAAATTTCTTCAAGTTTTGAATTAATTTTTGGTTTTTGTCGAGAATATTTTAAAAATACCCAGAATTTTTCTAAACCATACAATTGACCTAAATAGAAAAAATATTTTCTTATTGACACTTTATTTTTTTTTTATAATCTATTTTATTACCAGCTTCATAATCACAAAGTTTCTTGTTGAAAATCTTCAAATACATGTTGACGAAAATGTTTTTCTAGACCATATGTATAAAATCGAAATAGACATTCAACATCATATCTATACATAAATAATAATATTCAATTGTTTTCTTATTATTTTTCATAAAAACAATTCATTTATATACCGATGATCAGTTTTGGCATCTTCAACAGCATATTGTTTAAATTCATTGTACATATGACGATTAAAATTTTCACGTAAGAAAAATGACTAAACACGATAGAGTATATTCATTTCCATTGATTGACCAGGACCAAGTTTAGCACGCTTTAGAAATTAGATTATAAGAAAACAAATGTATTCTATTTGTAAATCAACATAATTTTAGATTATAAATATTTTCCATGAAATAATAAAGTTTGCCGAGTGTTTTTAATCATTGAAGATTATTTTATTGCTTTTCAAATTTATGAGTATACGACAAAAATATGTCAAAAGGTAAATTATGTTATTAAATTGCCAAAATCAAAGTCTTGTAAATAAGAATATTGGTCTTTCTAGACTATGAATTTTACCGGAGAGTAGTTTTCGCTATTGTTTCTCGATATACTCGACTCTTCTTTAGTCATTAAAAGACTCAGTTTTTTTCCGTTCAATGCAACATAATTTCAATCCTTTTTTTTACCAGTAGCTTGTTTCTCTCGAAATATTGTAAATATGTACTGAACTCCTAATCTTTTTTTTTCTCTACAATCAACTTTTTTTTTTACCACCAAGACATTCTTGTCTATATTTAAGATAAACTTGTTGAGTAAAACCATTGTGTTGTAAAAGTATATGAGATGGATGTTGAAATTGAGGAATTTTCACCGATGTTGAACCATAAAAATCATATGAATTTGAATTATTTCCATGCCAATAATGTGAATCATTGTATGATGATGAATATTGATCATAGAAATCTTGTTGTCGAGTTCTAAATAAGAAAAAAAGACTTATTCTATACTAATAATAACTGACATTCAATTGTTTGTATTAGGAACAAAAAATATAAGAAAATTCGTCAAAAAAACAATGATAAAGCAACACAAGTTATTTTTTACTATATCCATTTATCTTACCCATATTGAACGATAAGAAAAATGATCTTATTATCTG